GCTGCAGTGGCCGTGGGTTTGAGTCCGGCCTGTGGCCCTTTGCTGTGTGTGTGTAGACATTTAGAATGAATAATTATATCTTTAGTGATCTCCTGACTTTTTTATTTAGCAACACCAGCAACTTAATAATGTAATTTGTTGTTTCTTGACAAATACCTGCTAAACTAATGACATTCCCATCAGCCTCCGTTGTAGGTTATGTTGTGTTTAGTACTAATTAGCATATGTTAGCATGCTAATATGATAAGCTAAAATGATGAACGAAAGCACCACTGTCCTTAAGTCTCTAACTCTTAATCTTATTAAATGTTAAATTGGACAAGGTCATGGTAAGGAAGATGAAAAGAAGATTATACATTAGAGACTAAAAAAAGTGCAATGTTAACAATATCTCAGTGAGTAATAACATTTTGATCTGCCCATATAACAAGAATTACACAAACTATACAGGAGTGTTTTAGTGAAATTATCTATTCCTGGCTGAATATGAGCTGGTTGGAACTGCATGCTCTGGCTCAACCCAGATGTTTCTGGGAACTACACAGCAAGATAAAACAAACAAAACACAAACAAACCAAAAATAATACATTTCTAGGTAACCAGCATGAATCCAAAACACAGACTGTATTGTGCTGAAAAACAGCTGCCCAACAGAATAAACTCATAGTTTATTGTGTAAGTCTGTCAGTTGTGGGTGTGAAGTGCTGGATGCATAAATTCTGAGAGCATACTGTACTGCTGTGCACGTGCCGTCACCTTTGCCTCAGGAGACACTGCCTTCAAACTGTAAGGTCAGCAGTTTGACAGCACTGTGAAATATTAATTTGAAGGTGTCTGGAGGGATGCAGTCAGGTGCTTGGCTTATTGTTACTACATCACCTACTTTTATTATTAATTTACTGTATGTCAGAGCATTTCCATTCCATGTAAAAAAAAACAAGGATAGTTGCCATCCTTGTGGAGTGTAGAGAGGCCTGTAGGGGAAATAAAAGCTAAACGTGCATAATGAATGAACTGCATAGACTCTTTGCCTGTTGTTGTTGATGAGTTGATATGACATTTGACTGAGGACTATTAATTCCCCATTTACTCTGCACTGTGTTACATATTCCAGAAATCTGAAATGAGGGTCAGATGACAACATATTCCTAATTGAAAGTTGGGGGAAAAGATATGATAATGAGCCACTGAAAACCACGGCATACTGAGATTTACAGATGCTGAAGACAAAATGCCAATCATTACAGTAAATGCCAGTCTGACAAGAGCTCTAACACTGCAAGACCTCACAGGTGGCAAGCATAATTTAAAATAAAATTCTGGAAAACACTAATTTCTCCTGAAAGAAACTACTGAAAATCCCCATACTATAATAATATGGAATATAATGTGGGTATGGTACAATAACTCGGCTGACAGATGTGAGATTTGATACCTGTGTTTATTTATAACATGTTGTGCATATATGAATATTGTATTTTCTCTATAGTGACATCTTCTCAACTAAAACCTGACACTTTTATTCCGACAGTTGAACATGGGTAAGTTGAGTCAAGTAGATTTTCTTTGTATATATTTAACAGGGAGTGCACTGTTTTGCCACATCCGTACTGGTGCAACATTTTTCTTTTGCATATTACCAGTAACTAAATACTGATATAAAATATAATAATGATCAGTCACAAGGCCATTTTACACTGAGCACTTCAATTACATTTTCCTGATTATATTTACATGATTTTAATCAAATAACACTTTCATTGCAGGACTTTTAAATGTTTTAGTTGTAACAGACTATTTACACTGTGTGGTTAGTACTTTTACTTAAGTAAAGAATATTTCTTCTGCTGCATACTGTATTACTATATGATTTGTATCAACACCTTGCAATGCATTTGTGTATCTTTTTTGCTCTGGTAGTTAAATAAAAGAGAAAAAAATCTGTTGAACAATACACCACAGCGGCAGCATCTACCA